TGTCTAAACTGCAGTTGATACGAATTGATGGGTTGCTAATTGCTTCTCAGACCAGATCGAGAATAGGTTTAGTGCTTTTTTTTGGGGGTGGGGGGGCTTCTCTCCTTTAAGAATATCCATCAAATATGAATATAATTCTATCATTTCTACATATATTTTTAATGCTAAGTCTGCACTGTTCACTCTGCTCATTTTCCGAATAGGATTGTCCCATTCTCTTTATGTTTTGCCAGGGTCTGCCACTGGCTACCGCTTTCTAATTGGTAGCCAACAAGTTTTGCTCCTCGCATTCATTAGAATTATTTTTATGGAAAAAAATGCAGCAAAATCACGAGCGAAAAAGAAGAGTGAAAAATGCTTTTCTCAAAGGAAATCAACATATTTTAACATTAATTTGAATGACATGAGCTGGCCGAGAGTGGTGGGGGGGTAGGGTTTGGGAAACGAGTTAAAAATTTCGCCATAAGAAAGAAAAGAGAAGGAGAGAGAGAGACGTACAGCCGCAGAGTGAGTAAGAGAGAGAGAGAGAGAGTGGGTAGGCGGGAATTATGTATAAACGGATAAAGTGAAGGAGGCTCGTGTGTGCTTGTCGAGGCAGTGAAATATAATAATGAGGACACCCACCAGGACCCGCCAGGACGCACCAGAGCCACCACATCAACTCCTCGTTCGCTAACGATGAGGTAAAGAATGGGAATGAGCAGAAGGATCTGAATGTGGATGTGGAGGACGACGACGACGCCGACGCACCTGCAAGCGAAATGGAGTATTAAAAAATTATGCAAATGAATTCGTGTGTTCGTATTCGCTGTAGCCAGAGATGGGGCTGGTTCTGGGACTCTCAGAATGGGTCTGTGGCTGTGGCTGAGCCTGCGCCACTCCCACCAAATGCGCGAAAATTAAGCGCATGCAGGTGGGGGCCGGCCAGGCGCTGCATTATGAATGTTGTAAATTAATTTCTGGCTCGTATATACACACAATTTTTTTCAGCACTCGAAAAGACACGAGCCAGGCCAAGCAGCAGTAGCAGTGGGGGGAGAATGCAGAAGTGTTGTAGTTGCTGTGTTGGAAATGGTTGGGGCAGGTGCAAGTGTGGATAAGGCAGGTGGCACACTGGACAAATGCGTAAAAACAATTACGCTTTAATTGCAATGATTTCCCAGGAAACGAGCCACGGACCCGAACACAGGCACGAACCCAAACCCGTACCCGCACCCGCACCCGCACCCGGGACTCAACTCTGGCGGGGAGTGAGCGAAAATTGAGCTAAAAATACAATTAGAGGGTAGAGAGTGAGGGCGTGAGGGAGTGGTTGGGTTGCAGTTTTGAATATTTATAAACAAAAAAAGAGAAGAGGAAAAACCAAAGCCCACAAGAGAAAGAAAGAGAAATCCTACTACTAACGAGACGAGCGCTGCCGGCGCTGCCACGAAGCTGATGAGGCAGGTGAGGCGCAAAACCGGCAACAGTGGGCCCAAAACAAAGCAAAAAGCTAAAGATTAAAATAGTTGCAATTCAAGTTTTTGATTGTATGCAGCTACAGAACATACTGATCTTGGGGTATACCAATATGTAACTTTCACAGCCCAGTCCGTTCTGTTATTTTTGTCTCTTTCCTAGTTAAACGCACTCTAAAAGCTCATTGCAGCACGTTAAATGATTGATTTTGTGTGGTACTGTTGATTCTTTAATCGAAAATAAGTCTGAAAACAATGCATTTGTACCAAGGTTGGGTAGCCGCTGCTGCTGTTCCTGCAGTTGGCAATTTTAATCCTCGCGAGCAGTGCCCGTGCCCATGCCCGTGCCCGTTGTCCCACGCCCAATGTCTGTAGTGTCTGAATGTGGGTGTATGTGGGTCTGATGTGGTTGAAAATCATATTCACATTCATGCTTGAATGAGTTTTTTCTGCACGCCAGGCACTTGCCTGATCAAAGGACGACACTCTTGAGAAATTATCATAAAAGGATTTGCGGCAGCAGCAGCAGCAGCAGTAACGACTGTTCGTTTCTCCATCTCCATTCCATTACATTCCCTATATAAAACACTCTTTTTTCTGTATATGTATGGTTTTTTCTTCACTTTTTTTTTGAATAGAGCTTTTGTTTTTCATTTGAATATTGCAAAATTTGAATAATGCGCAAGTGGCGTGAACGAGAAATAAAAAACGCCAAGTCAAACACAAAGAAGAAAATCATATTCAGATTGGGATTCACATTCACACGAAGGTCTGTCCTGCTGATTGCATAATAGGCCGCACCCACACCGTCTCCGTCTCCGTCACCAGCTCCATCTAATGCTGCAGGTTGTGCTCCTGCTCCTGCTCATGTTCCTGCTCCTGCTTTGGTTAATTTCTGGGCGACAACGGTGTACTATAACTTGCAGATTGCAATTAGAGCCCAAGTGCCAACTGCTGACAATAGACAATTGTCGAAGGCGCGCCACGCCGCGCCGCTCTTTGGGAATGGAAATTGGAATAAATGTTAAATAAGTAATCAAGCGATTCCCTCAGACCTCAGAGCACAGAGCACAGACGCGCACAGACCAGACCAGACCTCCTCCGATGTCTCACTCGGCAGAGTGGATTCCATGGATGCAATTCGGCTTTTGGACGGGGCTTTGAAGTGCGTTTAACATTCATTTGGTGGCTGGATGACATTTGCACTTTGAAGTGGTTGAACACTTGAGAGAGAGAGAGAGAGAGAGAGATGATACGGAGACCGAGACGGAGGCCTACTCACACCCACAGCCACATTCACATCGGCGTGATTGCCACGTGATTGCCGTAGCCCCAATCGGGGTAATCCCACTCAAGATGATTGACTTAAATGCGTTTCCTGAATGCGTCAACAGCTCCCCTATATGGAGTCACATACGGGGCCGCATACACATGTACCAAACGATTTCCATCAATATATTCTTAAAGGAACTTCTGTTCGTGCATCCAAAACAAAAGAATCTTCACTGCTAATAACTTTAATTTGTGAAGCGTAAAATAGCTTCTCTTCTGACCAATTAGTAAATAGAATGACACAGCCAAGGATCTAACTGGGCTATACAAATCTTGCAATCATAAATCAGCTTGCATAACCATAGCTTACATACATATGTATATTAAATATTATTATTAATTGAATTAATTCACTATTTGTTGATATTTTAGACCAGCTAGCAAATGGACTTAAATATAAAAAACTGTTCGCTGATTTCTTTCCTTCTGTAAGTAGTTTCCAAAGGGTATTACTTCTTCTCCTTCTCCATATTCCCATACCCCTTTTTCATCCTCTGCCTGCTGCTCCTCCTCCTCCTACTCCGCTAATTTCTTCCATCCCTGCAACTGCTCCATCTCCACCGTTTCCCCACATCCTTTTTCAGCGGCGATTTTTGGTCAGCCGCTAGCCGGGGGTTCGTGTCCCGACTAAGTACTGCCGCAGGCTGGTCTAGCGCTGCCTTCGAGAGCTGAAAAGTTTGCAAACATCGCAGCTTTCGACTGTCAACCAGAGAGTGGAGTAGGGGGAGCTTTTGGGTCGCAACCCAAAGGGTTGCAAGCGCACATACGCTCATACTCATGCAGCGCAAGCAACCTCTGTCCGAGTGTGTTTGCATTTAGCCGACTCGCGGCGCACGTATACCTCTGCGTATGCGTCATGTGGCCAGATTTGATTCAATTTCATTTATTAAATGCTTTGGCCCCTCCTCGCATGTGGCATGTCCAGCAATTTGTTGGCAATTTCGTTAAGTTGCATTTAACGGCGACCCGGCGACTCGATTTTCCGCAATTTTCTCGATACACTTTTGGCACAATCGAAACGATAAATTAAATTACACTTGGCCCGTCCCCTTTTCCTGGACAAAATGTCAATGGCAGAGGCGAAGGCAGGGACAAAGTCAGTTGGCAAGGGGCACGGGGCAGGGAGCAGGGAGCACCGCACGACTCTCCACTCTGCTTCCTGTATCCAAGTAGTTGGCCCAAAGTGTATTTAAGCTAAAAGCTTTAGAGCCCACTTGACAATGGGCCAAGTTGAGCGGCCCAAGTTGTTTTTTCGCTTGTTATCCTGGCTGCCATTGTGACTGCTGCTCCATCTGCTCCACTCCACTCCACTCCCCGTCCACGTAACCTTTTCCCTCTGTAATCCTTCAGACAGGCAGACAGAAAGAGCCAGCCAGGCAGAGAATTTTGCGGGCGAGTCCCTTGCAGAATTTATTTACACTCGTGCGGTCCAGTCAACACACAGTCAACAAGGGATGCTCCACGAATGTTCCACACCCACAGATCCACACACCCACAGAGGGTGGTGGGTAGTGGTGGCAAGAACGGCTGTTGTGGTCCAAATATCCGCCCTTTGTGCGCTTACTGATGCCAAGTTCTGACCCGACTCTGTCACAATTAATTGATGATGCCGTTTAATCCACTAGCGAATCCTAAAGCTGTTTATGTCCTTGATCAACATCTTCAGGGGATTCAATCTATGCAGACATGCATCCAAGAGTCCACGTTGAACGATCTGCAGTAGCATCCAAAGGTTCTAGGGCTCAAAGAAAATAGTAAAATTTAAAATTATTAATACAAGAAGCGAGTGCAGTAAATTTCTTCAAACTGTTGGCTTTATGGGATCCGGAAAGAGCTTAGGTCGATTGCCAGTTGCCAAGCCAACACAATTATCTGCTATTGCGGCACTAGCTCTCTTTTTGGTTCAGGACATGACACAACAGCAGCATTATGCAATTGGGGAGTAGATTTTATTTATTTGATGGAACATCTCATTTAGTTCATGTTATACACATGCTCCAGCTTTTGTTTCTTGAAACACTGGGATAAAATGTGATTTTCCATTTAAATCGCGGAGTCCCAGCTACTGTTTTCGCGTAGGTCAGATTTGAAAATATATTTTATATAATAAAACGCCGTCGGCTTTGAGGGCGTTGGGGGCCCGTGCGCGGCAAAGAGCCGTATTTATTTTTATTCAAGGCGGCGCTTCTTAGCCGGTGGTGCACCGGTCTTGGCATCAGTAGATTCTGCAAAATTTAGTATTTGTTTTAAAGTGCCCTCTAGTTGGGTTTATTTAGGCACTTACCATTTGTCGGACCGTTTGTGGCTCCAGTCTGGCCCCTCTCTTCTGAGGTCATCGAACGCTTTAATGCACGCGTGCCCGGTGCGCCACCAGAGGTGGTTCCCAAATTCTCCACAGTATTGGGCACCGAATTCTCCACCGTATGGGGCAAGGAATTCTCAACCGAGTTCTCCACCGTATTGGTTACCGAATTGTGTGTCGGTGGGTCAATTGTGTTGCCGTGGTGACTCAAAGGCAAGCATATTTTCTTACTTAAATCTGCAAAAGATTAGTTAAAAACTGCCATACATGGGTGCTTAACTTTATACCCACCTTCTGGCAATTTATTTAAATTTAAGATCACTTTCCGGCAAATTACTGCGGAACTTGCTGGGTTTGTGCGAACAAGTTTAGCAGAACGAATGACTTTGGCAATTGATTGAAAAAGAGATGGTCAGAGATCCGATTAAGACTATATAGATGCAAAAATATCAATTGCCCAGAATGGATGCAACCGTGCTGCGTGTTGCTGCTGTCGTGATTACACTACAAAAATACTACACTACTCACAAAATTTAACTTTTTATTTATGCTGTGAACCAAAATGACTTTTTCTGATAAGATACTTAAGTTATGTGAAAAATAGAAGCACTACCTCTGAAAAAAAAACAATAAAAAAATACCAGATTATAAAAATACCTAAAAAAAAACTACACCATAAAAAAAAAACATAATTCGTTAAAAAATGTTAAACCCCGAAATCTATCAGAAAAAGTTGTTTTGGGCCACAGCCTAATTCTAGTGTTGACTTGTGTTATCAACTTATGATTTACGAAACTGGTTTCTGGATAATTTTCTACAAGTAACTAATATCAAGATGCCAAAGAAGCTATTTTAGAGGCCCCATTTTATAAGTCTCATGTGACGAAAGAGGTAATCGATACTTGACCATCGATAGATATGATCTAAAGCTGTCGCTTGCCCATCTATGTGCCAAGAAATTCAAGTCACGCTTGAGAATGTTCTAGAATTTGTGTATGTATGTACAAACACTTTTGACACAGCTTCCAGTGTTGAAAATGTCAATATACAGGCTCCCTGCTCTGCACCTTTCTCATGTATTTTTATGTTCCATAAATATAATTGCTTTATGGCTTGGTTGCTTGGCTTGCTCGTAGCCACCCAAGATTGGTCAAGATTCAGAGACTCAGTGAATAGAAAAAGAAATCGCTCCGGCACAACCTCTTAGCATATGAATGAAAATTGCTTAACAGCATTTTTTTGCCATCCGCTCGCCGCACAGAGGAACATTTGTAAATGAATTAATTTCGGATTACACAGAAATGAAGAGAAATAAATCTCTTTGAGGGAAATTTGTCTGGTCTGTTTATGGAGCAATCAATCTCCTTCTCCTTGCCTTATGCAAATGAGACGGAACCTTCCTCTGTGTTTCTGCTGATGGAGCAGACTGGACAAAATGCTGAATGAGTCTGCACCTTTCCCGTTCCCCCCCCCGCGAAGGCTCTGGTGGCACCTGGCCACTGGTTCCAGCTGGTGAAATTGAGTAATTTTGTATCCCTGAGATACGTTCACATTTCCCAGAACAGAACAGAGCCGAACCGAACCGAACAGAACAGAACAGAAAAGTCGGTTGCATCGCTTGAATTATGCGGAAAAGCGTGAATGGGAGAATAGCAACAAATGCAACATCTGTCGGCGTGAGCAAATAAATAGAGAAGCGCGATGATAGAGGGATAGGGCAGCAATAGGATAGGGGCTGGTGGCAGTGAATATACTCATGCGTATCTTCTGATAGATACGCCAGATACAAAAGGCCTTTTTATCAGCGAAAACATCGACTGTCGACTGTCGACGCTCGACGGACAAAAGGATGAAGTGCAAACATTTCACGTCACCGGGGAGGACAGACAACGGGCAAACATGTCAACCAATTCTGACACGTAGCCTCCTCTGAAGTGGCACTCGGGAGGGCGGGGGTAGGCGAATGAATGCCCATGGTAATAGCAATGGCAATGGCAATGGCAGGGGCTACGAAATGCGGTATGTTATTGGTTTATCATCATTAAAACAATCTTTGCTGCTCTGATCAGGGTGCCTGGGGCCAGGCTATGATTCCATGCGGCTCGAAAATACCTTAACAAAGTTTGCATATTCTTCATTCAAAATTAAGTATACATAGGTAGCTTTTTTGTCAACATTGTCTTACACTCGATGAGTCCAAGATTCACCCTGCACGGGGTGGTGCAAACTTTGAAATTCAAATATTTCTCTCAGCTTAAAATTAAATCGACAAATCAACAGGTTTTCCGCATCATCGTCATCTGCCTAGAAAATGGCATTTGACATTTTCTATTACCGTTTGGCATTTGCTCCACCACGGACACCACCACAGTTCCGGCTCCAGCTCCAGCTTCAGCTCCGTCTCGGTCTGAAGTTATTTGCTCGACAATGGGAACGCAGCGAACCCCAAACTAGCGAAAATAAGTTGTTGCAGGGCAAATATTGGCAGCTTCGAGTGGCGCCTGGCTTTGGGGGTGGGGGGTGGCCTGTCAAATGCACGCAACAGCAAGGGATTCCACAAGAGGCAGCGCAGTGTGTGCGCCTGACAGAAGTTATTAAATCGAATCAAATCACAGCCGCTGCTGAAGTCTGACAGGTGCATGGGGCGTGGGGCCGGTGCTCTTGGGCTTTCCTGTGCCATATTTATTGTGCAATCATCCCAAGAATGCGTATTGTGTGCGTGCAACGTTTGGCCATTACGATTCCGATGCCACACTGGAGGAAGTGTGACTCCACTACACTCCACTCCACCGCCTGCCGCTGACATCAGCCAGCTTCACAGGATCCTTGAGCGATTGCAGCTAAACGAATTTCTATTACGTTTCCCATTTCCACTTGGGCCATGTTGACTGCTAAACTGTTGGTATTGCACTTGGCAGTGGGAATTACACTTCCGGTTCCAATTCGGTAACATTTCCCCCATGATATGGTCTATGGACTATGGATATGCGGCGTACAGCTATGACTTAATGATTAAGTTATATATTAATATAAGCGTATATGCTAGTAGGGAGATTCAGTATCTTATTAGATTAAAGTTATTTGTGAGTCTTTAAATAGTCTTGAACTTTGAGTACATGTGGCAGTGCTCCTCATAGAACGTTGCTGTAGTTCGAATCTATTTGTTACACATTATAGACATTATTTGTGTACCCGAAAGCCAAAGAGTTTTGGGATATGTTAGCCTATATGCATAGTTATGAAACTCTTTTAGCTGACGTCGCATGGACAGCTTCTGTCGCTCATCCGGCCATCGATGCTTAATGAAATGCATAATACAAGGGAATTGCAGTCCTCGATGGCAGGCATACGCTATCCTTGCTACCTTCCGGTTTCCTTGCAAGCTATGATACTAGTCCATGGGTTAGCAGTCTCCTTGTGCTAAAGACGAAGAGTCACAGCCTTCACCTTCCTTTGCGCACTTCTCCTTGCAATATTGGCAAGGCTTCTCCACAGCGATGTCTCTGCGTTGCTCGACAAATCGAAGCATGATCCTACAGAGGATCAGCTTCAGCTTGCACTACTGTTCCCTTCGTAGCACTCCTTCTCAATGTTGTATCGCACTTTCTGCTCGCTCTCGTTGTCTGAAGGATGGTCGGATTTTCTCGCTGCGAATGGAGTCGCTGGCGCGGCGAAGGTGAAACCACCCATTCAAGATCTGCTGCGCCAGTTGCTGCAAATATTATTTCACATATATTTCTTAACATTTTGTTGTTGATTTTCGGGGTTTCGATTGTTTATAGTCATTTCATGAGTTAGCTATGAAAATTACCTACTAATGGAGCCGGAGAAAAATCCACCGCGCTCAGCCATGGGCCTTGCGGAACCAGCCAGGCGGCCATGGTGTCCATGCTGGCCACTGCCTTGGTCTGCACACCTTTGGAGTCTTTCTTTGCCGCCCTAATTAATGCCTAGAACTGGATAGGTCTCAATACGACGCCACGTTATATTTTTGTGCCCTCTTTCGCTAGAGATGTGACTCGTGGTGCGCGTTATATCGGCAAAATATCGTATCAAAAGAAGTGATCGAGTATGAGTCACTCTAGCGCCAAGAACAGCTGATTGACAGCTGACCTAAGTGTAGAATCCAATATGTCACAATCAAAATAATATAAATTCAATTTGTAAATATCGAGCAAGTTCCGCAATTCGGTTTCATGCCCAATAAACACCCACGAAAACCTCTCAAATCTGCAGTGCTACCGTGTAATTGGTTCCACCCCCCACCACATCCCAGCATGGGCTGTTTCGTGGCCATCCATTAACTTTTGCTATAGAAATAATTACAAATTTTCAAATTCGATATAATTCAATTTGGTGGAATGAAAGAATAAAAGAAAGAAAGGCGAGAGGAGGCCGGGGAGGCCAACAGTCGATATAATTCCCCATTGCAGTTGTGCGCCATAATGACTTCCTGTGCGCAATGCAACAAGGACCAACCCACAACAGCAACAACAACAACAGCAAGAGGCTGAAGGAGGAGGAGTTGCAGCAGCAGGAGCAGCATCAGAATTATAGAGGTTGGTCCTGGCAGGCAGCCATTAGCGAAATATGAGCACCAACAAGCACAACAAGGGCACCCAAGGCGAATCGAATCGAATCGAATCGAGTCAAAGCAAAATGAAGGAACGGCAGCACAGCGGCAGGGCAGGCCCAGGGTGGGTGGGTGGCACCCGGGGTCGGTCGGTCTGCAAATAATGCCAGAATCCGAATTAAGCTGAATAATTTACACAACCCCTTGAAAGTGCACTTAAGAGCTACAATATAATAATAAATAGCGAAAAAAACGAAGCGCTGAAATAATATTTCTTTTCGATTTATCCTTCCCAGAATCATCATCATCATCGGCATTCACATCCACATCCACATCAGCTCTGGCCCGGGGCATCCTTCGACATCCTGCTGCCTTCCTGTCACTGACTGCCAATAGAAAACTGCGTTCCCCAATTGACTGACTGACTGACTGACTGACTGGCAGACTGATTGACAAACCAACTGACTTACGGACTGGCGGGGGACTGAGGACTGGGAAGCGACTTGGATTCTAGCGTCTATATGCGTTGATGGGCTGTGCAATTGTCTGAATGGGCATTCAATAGATCCGGAAAGGGCATGGGGACTGCGACTGCGACTCCGACTGCATGGGATCGAGGCATGGGTTGGGTTGGGGCGGGGGCTGGATTCAGTCAAGTGTATTATCAATTGAAAACTCAACGAACTTGCCAGGTAGCAATGAATTGGATTGGATTGGGATTGGGATTGGGATTGGGATTGAGATGGATTGAGTAAGCGCGGTCGGTTAAGGAACCCTACAAACTCTGATGTGTTTGGACTTTGCCAGCTTTCCTCGATCTTTGTATTCCACAGAACTATGATGTATTACTTCCGAACTGATCATTAAATTAGATTCTGCTCGTGGCGTACAGCTTCTGGCAGCTCCTACGCTCCCTACGATGAGTGTTTCGCATTTGCAACATCAAATGGATTGGATCGTAAATAGATTTGCAGCCAAACAGACGCTTTCGTTGTCTCC